TTAAACAATCATATTAGAGCCTACCGTCAAATAGTGTCAAGAAATGTGGCTTCAATATTAGAAATCTTTGTGATAGTTTTAAAAATATATTTTTATATTTATTTATAAAGTTTATGTTGTGCGCGAAAGCTCTAAACCCAATTAATTTTTGGCCAATAAAGTATGAGAAAAGAATTGACAAAAAACAAGCAACAAAAATAAAACAGGAAATAAATAACAGAAAAAAAAAAAAACATTAAGATTTACATAGTTCGTCACAATTGTGACTACATCCACGAGTGAAGACGATCGATATTTTTCACTAAATCAAAGAAAGAAAATTACAAAGTAACTTACTTGCGAACCGAAGATTCAATCTCCCACAAAGCCTTCTTCTCTACAATTTTCTATCCCTTCAAAACCCCTTAAATGTTTCCTCTATTTTTCTTTATGCATTTTCTCCCTCTACATAACCTAAAAGAGCACCTATGTAAGGCTAACTTTTCCACCTTTGCTTTTATATCTAGAAGATATTAAGATAACAAAACCCCAAAAGATATACGTCAAACCAATCTTAACTTTTATAACTTTATCAACAACAAACTTTAACTTTATCAGACCGAGGAAACCAATTCTAATTAGGGATTTAAGAATTCAAGATAAATATTAACCGTTTAAAGCTTCATCCGACCTAAGTTAGAGGAAACCAATCCTAATTAGGGATTCAAGAATTCAAGATAAATATCAACTGTTTAAAGAGTGTTAAAAAATAAAGAGTATAAGAGAATAAAACCCCAAAAATAAGTACGTCAAACAAATCTCAACTTTCATAACTTTATCAGCAAGAAACTTTATCCGACCTAAGTTAGGAAACCAATCTTAATTAGGGATTCAAGAATTCAAGATAAATATCAACCGTTTAAAGCTTCAAAAATAGTGGTTATCCGAACTAAATTAGAGGAAACCAATCCTAATTAGGGATTCAAGAATTTAAGATAAATATCAACCGTTTAAAGCTTCAAAAACAGTGGATCTATGAAAACTTGAAAATTCACGGTTCAAAAATGCATTACAAAATTACTATTTCCAAAACTTAAAATCCATTTTTTCCGCATGTCTATGCTTCTTGATGTCTAGATGATCAATTTGAAGATATTTGAGCATCAAAACAACCTCTTTTAGTGAAATGTTTGATATAGGCTCAAATTTGATTGTTTAGAATCTTTTCTACGAAATCTATTAGCTATATATATATATATATATAATAATTAAGAAGCACACGTGTTTGCTAATTTTGGTGCCGGAACCCTGGCTGTAAATATATTGCGAAGGGATTTCTTACTCTGGGTAATTTTGCTAAATCAACTAATTTACATTTTAATGATAGAGGGAATTTAATAAATAATACTATTT